TTTACAATATGCGTTTATAGCATCTCGTATACATATTTGGAGAGTACATACTAGTCACACGTACAACTTTTGGTTGAATATAGATTGGTATTTAATGAAGAAGCTTGATGAGATGACTTTTTAAAAGAGTCTGTATTGTAATTTTAACCGAGTAAAGAAAAGATTTCATCTTCTGAAAATTCATCTTCATCGAAATGCAAATAGCTTTGATTATAAGATCGTTTGCTATAAATGTTAGATTGGTCAAGCAAAGGATCGATGCTGGGTTCATTTCTATGATTAGAAGAACATTTGCCATAACCATTAGACAGATCAAGTAAAGGATCGATGCCAGATTTAATTCTTTGATTAGAAGAATATTTGCTATAATTATTAGATTAATCAAGTAAAGGATCAATGCTTGATTGAACCCTTGGAATAGTAGATCTTTTATTTATTTGAGGTATTTTATATTGATACTTATTGGCGGTAAAAGGCGAAGATTCAGTATTGTCATGATGATTTAGTGATTTATAAACTTGAGAAATTTGATTTTGTAAATTTTCAGTATAAGTATATTGGCTTTGCAATTCTACAGAAGGTAGGTAATTTGGTTGACAATTGGTACGAGCTTTAAATTGTAAATTATCTAACTCATTGGTTTTTAAATCCAGATCAATATTTTTTTTAAAAAAAAATAAATCTATTAAATAAAAAAAAAAAATTGGTCACTTAATACGCCTATATAATTTTTACAAATATATCTTTATTCTTTGTTTTATTCAGCTTTTGTAGTTTCTTGGATTTTGGCAACTTATCTAAATGCTCAGAAATATCTGACTCTACTAGTGTAACATCAACTTTCTTTTTTATATTTCTTGTTTTTCTTTTTACTGGTTTTTCTATAAATAAAAAGAACTTAAGCAAGAATTGATAACTATAAATAGTAATTAACATTTACGGGAAGAAAACTTTTTTTTTGGCAGCATCATATTTAGTCTTTCTAAGTGAAAAATAAAAATAAAAGCTAATGCCAAATTATTTATATTTATAGAAGTAAACTTTTGTAATAATGTAATTAAAATTACGTATAAATATTATTTGATCATAAATATATGAACTTTTCATAACAACATTGATTTTAGTATTTAATGAATTATATTCTTTGTCTCAAATGATTCAATTAATTTATTTACAGAATTGACAGATTAATATAAATTTTATATACATATTAAGTACTTAAAATTTAAATTAACCCTTATATATATAAGACATCAAATTTTCTATATTGCATATTTTATTTATTCGCTATCTAAAGATTTTTTGCCAGATTGTATCTATAGTCTTTTTTAACCAATTGCGAATACTGAATTAAATTGAACTTTATAGCAAATTTTTATTGCACAACAAAATATCTATTTAAAAAAACAAATAGCTTGTCTGTCACTATAACTCTTAAAGCCTCAAATAGTAATAAAAATTCATGTTACTATCAATCAACAATGGATATATCAAATTTATGTCAGAATAGTAAATTCAAGTAAAGCAATATCGATATGTCGATATGTTTAAGGCTTATGTATTAATAATAAGAGGTAAGTCATACATATGCAATACGAATCAGGCTTATGATTAATTTAAGAGAGTCATGAGAACAAAAACATATTTAAGAGCTTTTGTTCAATATCACAATTAATATCTTGACCACTCATGTTTTTACTATAGCTACAGTATCTTAGTTTTAATTACCTTGATCATAGTGTGGGTTACATGTTTTATGCAATAAAAACAATGTATATTCATTGTTCTGTGTAATTCATTTGTTTTAAAGAACAATAAGTTATATTTAACCTTCTTATTGGTAAAACAATCATGTAATCTGGGTTTCAGAGGTTGTCCTGGATGCCTCTATTTACTCTATCGTACATAGTACTGAAGGTTAGTTTTATACTTATGATCATTTTTTTCTTAGTATAATCTGCATTCTGCTTACATATATTAATATACAATTTATTCTATTTAATTTGCTTTTATTAATAGACCTTCAAAATTTATAAGGTTCTCTATATTCAAGAACTCAAAGTATATGAGCTAATTAACTGTTTCAGTAGCTCATTATAGTTGGAATTTTATCGGTAGCATCTGAATTGTCAATCTGAATTTTGTTAGAAGAATCTTAACTTTTGACTACGTATAATGAATCATCTATATAACTTGAAATTGGGCAACCCAAATAAAAATAGCTTGAATAACCATACCAGGCTTGAGATTAGCCAGTTTTTTTTCAATTTTGTCGAAAGTTTTTTTTGTAATATTATCAAAAAAATCAGAATCGGCAAATCTAAGATCAGGGCAATAATATAAAAAATAATATATATGTATGAATAAGCACTTTTACTAAAATACACCTATAGTATTTTATCACCTATGTTATATTATATCAAAAACTAGCTAGTTAATCAATATAAAGTATTAAGTAAAAATGCTCTACGCTTCTGAAAACTCTTCCCAAAACTTAATCCTTATCATAAATATTAGTCCTATTCAAAAATTTTTATTAAAAATTTTATATACAAAACTTATAAAAATTAAAAAAAATCTATAATAGGTGGTAAAACACTATAGATTCGTTTTAGTAAAAATGTAATAAGAACCAAGAATAAATAGTATAGCAACTCTCTGTATATACACACTTTATATATATACTTTTCTTTATATGTGCAATAATACTGCATATTGTATTTAGAGTACTTATTACGTGTTATAGTTAGGCTTCTATATAAAGTGCATATTTCTATAAGTATACAGATGAGTGCTTTATAGAGAGTTCACTGCCTATACTCAATCCATTTTGATCCAAGTGAAAGTTTTGATCTAATAATCTAGTTTATTAACCAATTATAATAGATATAAGAAACACACTAATAAATTTAGAGATTTTATGTTATATATTACCTTAGTAAATACTATTTATTATCTAATTTATTAGCTATAATAATGCTATAATATTGCAAAATTTAGTACCTAATTAAAAGCTAAAATTTTGCTATTTCATATCCAATAAAATGTATTTATTAGTTATAATAATACTATAATATTGCTAAATTTAATATTTAAATTATTTGTTTTAAAAAGCTAAAATTTTGCTACTTAATA